CCTAAGTGAAGAATAAGTGTCCATGATGGGCATCCGTTGCACATTGCGTTACATTTTCACTATATATCTAAACATTGCCACTCCTTGAACTCCTATATTGCGCTTCTCGGTGAATTCTCGCGAGAAGATGCTTACAAGATGGTGTAAAGTGATTTCGTACCATACCATGAAAATGCGGTTTGTTATTTTATTCTTGAAAATGATAATTTGTGATGAATAAGAACTTATTTTTTTTCTACAAAAAGAAAGTATATTTTTAGCGAACATTTTATGACAAATTAATCTTCAAAGCTTAGTTAACAGGTAGTGTGTCCTTCATACACTGTGTGCTAATTGATCAAAGATCACTTTTTTTGTACCACTTCTTGGATCGCGCGAGAGAATACTGCAGACACGGTGTAGGGGTATTTTGTATACTATTAAGAAATAGCCCGACATTTACCGAGAGTCTTGTAAAAAGAAACATATTTTTTTTTATCAGTGACAAAACGAACTGCATTTTAGTAAAATAAAATATAAATCACCATGCTCAACCGATTTTACTAATAAAAAGTGTTAAGGCACAAAAAATTTTCCAATTACGATGATGATACATTTATGTCAAGAACAATTTGTATGGAAACCGTCCAACACACATGGCGGATCGTGGAATAGAACATTGTTGTCACATTGTGCAGTAAACAACGACTTTTTCACATCTGCAAGCCTGTCACAATATTTGTAAGTATTGTATTGCTTAGTGATGAATGAACATCAATATGTCTGACCGTTAGGGCAAGCGCAGTTTTATTGTTTTTAATAATTATTCTACAACGCTAAACCTCTGAAATGTTGTTATGATCTCTGTTTATGACGATAAAATTTTCAGTAAATTCTTTTAGTTTTACTGTGTATTTTAGGTTCATCTTTAAAAAAAAAAAAGCGATATTCAGTATTAAAAACAAAATGGGAAATAACATTATTCTCAAATTCTCCATACAACAAGATTCCTAGCCTCTCAGATTATTCCGACAAAATCTGATATACACAAGCCGTTTTAAGTCAGAAAGTGACGAAAGTATGATGTCACATACAAAGTCATGTTTTCTGAGTATGCAGACGATATAGTTTTTAGATGTGGAAATTGCATTTATAATATTAATTTAAATTTTATTTAGTGTACTCTTGTTTCAATGACTCATGTTTAGTTTTCTTTTGTACAGATATCTCTGGCTGCTATGGGTGATGACAACAGTGAAATCATACAGATTCGGATGAAGATAATAAAGATAGTGATGTCAAAGACAGTTTGATGGACCAAATGACACTGATAAAGAGGAAGATACAAAGAATGATACTTCTAGCCAGGCATGTGACTATGAAGATGATAGTTTACTGTTTAGTAACCACCTCAAATCAGTGATTTGTTTTTCTGACATCCATTCAACATTTGAAACTAGCTATTCCTGGTTTTAGAAATTGTTCATACATAGAGCATGCTCATGCGTATCAAACCAACTGAGAGATATAAACCCCGTATGCAGGTGATGAAGGTATAGGAGAGCAATTTCTTATGTCATAATTTGAGCAAGATATGTTAGCTGAAATGTAATGTGAAATGAAAACTGGAAATGACAGATGAAGAAAATTTACTGCTCCATCCTTCTGTATCCCTAATGGTCTTCTGAATTTAAAGCCATTGGAAAACCAACTTAAAGAGGAACACCTTATCTTTGGTGATACAATTTTGGGGGAAAAATATTACTTCTGCAGGGAAACAAAAGTCATATTATTACTTGTATTGCAAGATGGCCAATTTGTATGACCAGTGCTTTTGAAGAAAACTATGCTTGCACTCAGTGTCCCATGAACAAAGCATCCTAAAGATAAAGAGTACAATTTAATTCTAATGGATAAAGATCACTTCAGAAATGTTAGAACTTGTGTGATTTGAAAATGGTATAATATTGTTTGTCTGTAAACTTGTTTTTCTGTAATACCTATTCATAACTCTTCCCTGACAGCTACAGTATTTCAGAAAATATTCGATAGAAAAAAAATTGTACTAGGGTCAGTGTCTTTCTATGTATCAAGTATATGTGAGAATTGAAAATTTATTCATTTTATGATTTTCTGGATATTATTCATTAAAAGCAATATAAATTCCTGTCATTATGTTATAACATTTTTTAGCATGTGCATGTTTAAATTTTAATTTGTTTTGTTTACGAAAGTCCTGACATTAAGTCAAAAGTCTTAGGAAATTGGAATATCATAAAAATAAGTAACTCCTGGCTTTACAATGAAATGTCCTGGCAAGATTTGGATTTGAAATGTTTAACAAAGAAGTCCTGGGAGATCCCAGGAAGTCCTGAATTCAAATCCCAGGATTATTAATCTTAGGATTTCCTAAAATCAGATTGTGAGGAAATCCTAGGAATTCTTGGGACATCTTAGGAATTCCTGAGAAGTATTTCAAAGTCAGGAATGATTTCAGCAAGGGAAATGGCCATAGCATTAGCTCTTTGAGCCTTTGGCTCAGAAGAGCTAATCACATCTCATCTCATCAAAAAATCAGACAGAATACCCACTCGTTGCTCACAACAAGATCTCATCTAGTTATAAATATTATTACATATATATTTGATTTACTATGACCAATGATGGAACCTAGTATAAATATAACAGCCTCACTCTGCATCAATTGTACGTTATTAACATCGATATCAAGTAAATGACATCGATAAAGTATCATTTTCCATATTCAACTTTTCCAAAATTCATATCGAGTGCAGATGACAACCAACACCATTTCTAACTCTTCTGAGCCAAGGCTCAAAGACTAATGCTATGGCCATTTGTGCAGTGTGCGTAAACTTTTTAGAATATGGGCCATAACTCAAGAACCCCTTGGCCAATTATTGTCGAATTTGTCACAGGGTATCCTTGGCCCAAGGGCTCCCATTTGTAAGTTGATGTATCTTGGGTCCTCAAAAAACGTCAACTGAAAAGTAGGTCACTGTGACCTACTTTTGAAATTTTATGGCTATATTTAAATATTTAGAGTACTATTTGGCTTAGAATCATCAAAATTTGTCAGTTGATGTATCTTGGGTCCACAGAGTAGGTCAACTGAAAAATAGGTCACCGTGACCTACTTTTGAAAATTTATGGCTTTAATTAAATATTTCAGGTACTAATTGGCTTAGAATCATCAAACTTTGTCAGTCTGTGCATTTTGAGTCCATGGAGTACAACAAGTAAAAAGTAGGTCACCTTGACCTACTTTTGAAATTTGTCAGTTGATGTATCTTGGGTCCTCAGAGTAGGTTGACTGAAAAGTAGGTCACCATGACCTTTTCAATTTATATGGCGATAATTAAATATTTCGGGTACTAATTGGCTTAGAATCATCAAAATTTGTCAGTTGATTCATCTTGGGTCCTCGGAGTACAACAATTGAAAAGGAGGTTACTGTGACCTACTTATTTTGGGTACTAATTGGCTTAGAGTCATTGAACTTTGTTAGTTGATGCATCTTGGGTCCTCAGAGTATTACAACTGAAAAGTAGGTCACCGTGACCCACTTTTGAAAATTTATGGCTTTAATTAAATATTTTGAGTACTAATTGGATTAGAATCATCAAACTTTGTCAGTTGATGCATCTTGGGTCCTCAGAGTATGACAACAGAAAAGTAGGTCACTGTGACCTACTTTTGAAATTTTATGGATGTATTTTATATTTTTCAGGTACTATTTCGCTTAGAATCATCGAAATTTGACAGTTTATGCATCTTGTGTCCTCGGAGTACGTCTACTGAAAAGTAGGTCACAGTGACTTACTTTTCAATTTATATGACTATATTGAAATATTTGAGGTACTAATTAGCTTAGAATCATCAAACTTTGTCAGTTGATGCATCTTGGGTCCTCGGAGTAAGTTGTCTGAAATGTAGGTCACTGTGACATACTTTTGAAATTTTATTGCTTTATTTAAATATTTTTAGGTACTAATTGGCTTAGAATCACCAAACTTTGTCAGTTGATGCATCTTTGGTCTGCAGAGTTAATTGACTGAAAAAGAGGTCACTATTTTTGAAGTTTTATGGCTTTATTTAAATATATCAGGTACTAATTGCCTTAGAATTATCAAACTTTGTCAGTTGATGCATCTTGGGTCATCAGAGTATATCGTCTGAAAAGTAGGTCACTGTGACCTACTTTTGAAATTTTATGCTTATAATTTTAAAAATATTTTAGGTATTAATTGGCTTAGAATTATCAAACTTAATTGCATCTTGGGTCCTCAGAGAATGACAAGTGATAAGTAGGTCACCATGATCTACTCTCAGGTACTAATTGGCTTAGAATCATCTTGGGTTCTCGGAATGTTTCATTTAAAATGTAGGTCATGTTGACCTACCTTTGGAAATTCAAGGCTTTATCTAAATATACAGGATACTTAAAGGCTTCAAATAGAAGTGAGAGGTTGTACAGTTTATAAGAAGAGTGATTCAAGGCCCTTGGGCCTCTTGTAATTGTGTGAATGAGAGATTTACCAATGAACTTACATGTGGAATATAAAAGTGGTTGTTGCATGTGAAAGGGTCTAAGTTCAGGAAAGATTACTTATTTTACACTATAATATAACAACTGTTAGCAAACAATCCATGTTTACTGCATATTAGTGATGTCATAATGAAAAATTACATCATTTTTGTTGCTGTAGAATTTTGTTCGCACATTACTTACTTCAATGCTCAACATCAATAAACAAAAGAAAGAATATTAAAATATCATGAATTTTGAGGCCAATTACTGCTAATACTATATCTTTTTACTTTCTGTGAACCTTACATCAATAAAATGTTGAATTTTTTATTTCAAATCGGCATTTTTAATTGTTTCGATTCAAAAATACTTGCAAAAAAGCCAAAATTGGACCACCACAAAAAAAAACATTATATGGTACATGCATAACTAAAAACAACTTAATTTTCTTAATTTGTGTAAAATTTAGGTAAAACAAATGACCTTGAAAGATGGAAGGATAAAAATGATGAATGAAGTGTTGAATGGAATCAAGGTAAGTTTTAGTTTCTTGTCAGTGAATCCAGGAATGATTCCATCTGTCTGTCATTTGATTAGCACATTTTCCCAAAGAGCTAAATCCACGAAGTGCCAAATTTGGCCCAGTCATCAAAATAAATGAAACTTTCTCACATATTACTCTAAGATTTGTATGTTGTGAAACAATTTATTTTTTAACAATATCTTTTCTGGTTTTCTTTTTACATTCATTTAAATTTGGTATTGTTTTCCTTATTAATACTATCACGTCATTTTGTTGTCGTTACATACTTTAACGTCGTGACGTTTACATTTTATTTAAGAAAGTAACACATGTACATTAATGGAATACAAATAACCAATATAAGCTCTTCTTTAAAATTTTGGGAAAATTTTACTGTGAATTTTCCAAGAAGTTCTGAAAACTTTTGGTTTATTTTTTAATTAAAGCTATTTGTATTCTAAAGAAATGCCAAATATTTGTTATATATACAACGGTTGTCTGGTATAATCGAAGATACATGAAACACGTTTTAAATGAAAATAAGAGACGTTATTAAAGCTGAAAACAAACACAAAGTGTTAATCCATCATATTTGCGTAAAACTGAATTAATGTGTACAGTAGTAAAATATATACTACAGTAGCCATGGATAAGGATTTTATCATTCATAAATGTGTTATTGTATGGTCATACGATGAACAAACAACAAATAGATGTTTTATCAGAGGATACACAAGTACTCTTTAATAACAAAAACATGAAATTAAAATAAAAAGTTGCATTAAAAATGAATACATTTGAAATTACCATCTATTATATTGTCATTTTTAGGATATTGCTGCACTTCCATAATTTATGGCATTTCCCAGACATTTGAAATGAAATTAGTTCATACATGTAATACATGAAAAATAGTGACGTTTGATGGCAATCCTGAGCACCACAGATTGTCAGGAAAGAAGCCAGACTTTTAAACAAGAGTAATACAAAGTAATCAAATCGGCCGCAAAAAAAATTATGCATTTTAATTTTTTTTTTACAAGAAAGAGTCCAACAAAAACACAAGATTTCCAAAGTATTTGAATTTCAAAATGGAACCTGAAGTCAAAAAAACAACACCTGTTATTATTACAGGTATTACGTATTTTTTATATTTACTGAAAATTTCAGCAAAATTGATAGGTACGCGAACTCTTGTGGAAAAATATATCCTTTTGTCAATTACAGCATACATGTATGTATACTAGCAATTTTTTTTAAATAGACTGGTTTTTATTTGTGAATTTTGGCCCTATAATTCACATTCGCAACAATAAAAATGTATCACTTTCATATTTTACACACTTTCTTGTTGGGGAGTACCTATTATAAACCCTTTTAATAAAATCATAAAGTAATGATTATCTGGTGAGAAGTGAAAATTAAATTGAAACATAACAACAACTAACACTTTCATATAGTTCAAAACCAGTTTTAACATTTTACTCATAATTTTCATATATTTAAAATAACGTTTTGTTTCTCCATGTGCAATTTCTAACACAACTACAAATAGATAGGCGATAATGAGTAATGAGTAATTATAATATCGTATATATTGCATATGAGATTTTTAATTTGGACATTTCAGGTCGTAACTCTTTGTAATTAAACAAAAATATACGAAAAACAGCTACTGGCAGTAGTAAATAGCTAACATTACAGACCATCAAAAAAAAAATAAAGACCACATGTCGAGCGACATATTACCATACCCCCCCCCTCAAAAAAAATATCAGAGTTCAAACGCCCGATCTATGAAGTTATACTCTGTATAAACATCCATTCAAGAAAGCAAATATGACAGACAGGCAAAATTAGCAGTTACATGCATATTATCTGTTGGTAATAATTATAATACATTAAGGATACATGGCTGTAGAAACGGGGGGGGGGGGGGGGGGGGGGGGGCATGGTCAATAATTTTGCCGATATATAGATTACAATATAAAACAAAGCTACTATATGCTTGTGCCCCGTCAATAAAAATGTCTGATGACCTTTTTTGTTTTTTTGTTTTGTTTTGTTTTTTGCTTATAATGGAAATTTTGGTCGTTGATAGTGCCCCCAACTGAAAATGTATGGCTGTGCCAACCTCCCCCAACTGAAATTGCTACCTATGGGCCTTGGATATATAATGAATTTATGCAATGACTGAGTCACGAAAAATCAATCGTTTTTAAATTAAATTTTTATCAAGGTGATTAAAAAAAATGAAAACTGCTATTGAATTAATTTTTTTTATACAGTATATATACAGAGTCTAATATTATTGTCATTGTCATTTATTTACTTTACTACTTTCTTGTTTAAATGACAGTAGTAATTGGTCGATCGAACTGTCCCACGAATTTAATGAGTGAGGGTGGGAATCCCGAACACCCCCCCCCCCCCCCCCCAATAACCTCAGTCTTTTTTTTTTTGTAAATGTAATAGGTTTTTTTGTTTCTTATTTTATGTCAAAGCTCTCTAATCCCCCATTATGAAACATGCTAGCTAATCTTGGTTGCTCTCTCTCCCTTGGGCCTGTTACATTTAAGAGGAGTAACTCAAAATAGAAAGAGGTAGCAAGTAGCCTCCCTTTGACTTTTTCATGTGTTGGCTAGGTCACAGCATGCAGGCGATACTGAAATTACTTAAAACCATAAAGAGTTATCACTGCCTTGGTAGTAAGTTATTCCTTTATCCAATGTAGCTATAGGGCATTTGTCTTACAGAGGCCTATCACAAAAAATACACGCGATCTGACTGTTTATCAATCTTTTAATAAAAATTTGTTTATTTGATTTGTCAACTCGAATTTTCTAGGTTCAATATTTCGTAACATAATTTATGTTAAGAGGTCTTGGATCAGAAAAGGTTTTTTCACTAGGCCTAATAAATATTAATTAATCTTTTGTCTTAAAATGCCAATGACGATTTCTGAAACACATGTTTGTGGGTATGAGTTATAATTATAATAGTTATAATATACTGAAACGCAAAAGAAACGCAACTAGCAGTAATCTACAAATATTTGAACCTTTTAACTAATGATTTTCAAAACTGATTACAGTTAAGTTAAACTCGATTTAAAAGCATCAAAGATTTGATAACAATGTTAAATGATTACCTTTTAACTTTAGAAAGTAACATTTGACTGTTAAAACACCCCCCTTCTTGGCCATTCAATTATAGCGTGGAAGACTGCCATGCACAGCAATTGCAGCTTGATTTCCATGATGCAGTAAGTTCATCAATCTCGGGATCTGAGCGAAAAAAATATTCTTTGCCATTTTTAAATGTCTGTTTTTCAGATGATGAAGTTGAATTTTCTCTAACTTAGCGCAGTGTAGTAACACTTGGAATTCCAGTCCACGGACTATCATTCATGATAATGATACGTATGAGCCTGTTGAGGCGTGTTGTCGGGCATTTTTGCATCTGCAATTCTCCATCACCTTTATTTTCAGATTTTCCAGCTAGAGCATTTGAAATGCATACTTATGTCATTTTCAGGAAGCCTTGGCATCTCTTCCGGAAACGAAAGGAGAATTTATTTTGCGAAATATTGCTGCATTATTTATGATAAACAGATACAAACCCTTAAAACCCATATTTTTGTCAAATTTTTTGTTAAACTTGCAATTTTTTATTTCTGTTCAGCGGGCTCAAACTTAACTTCCAGTTATGGCATGAAAATCATTCAACCGTTAAATTATCGATACTTACAATGTTGAAGATATATCCATACTTTTTAGATACAAAATTATATCCTTTATATGATTTTCCCCTCTAAAATAGGATGTTGCATTTCTTTTGCGTTTCAGTATATATACTAGACTCTATTCCGTAATATTGACCATTTGTATGCTGTCGATCGATGCAGACATACTGATACACAATTTATGTTTTGTAAGGTGGCAAAACAATCATTATAAATTTAATACGTCTTGGTAGTTGCAACTGTTTATCTGTAATCTGTTTAATCTTCTTGGCTATTCCGACTCGGTCACTCAGGAGAAAATAAAGATGTAGCCTACATGTTACTCGGGTGATCTCCCTTTGACTACATAGTGACCATGGTGACGAGGAGCTGGGTATATTGGAAAACAAATTCAAAGCATAAATAAATAGGCTGTCGTAGGAAAAGAGTACACATTATTTTTTAAAATCATTTCAGCACAATGATGAGTTAAATATAGATCAGCTACTTGAAGGAAAAGTCTTGGGTCAGGACTAATGCACGTAGTACACAAATTGTCGACATTATTGCATCTGCATGCGGTCATGCGTAGCGAGAGTTTTTCTTACTTTTTGCACCACAACACAATATTACTTATAATAAAAAGAACATCTAGATTTTGAAACTTTTTAATATTAAAAAAAGCAATATAGAATCTTTTTCTTTTCTATTACATGTAATGTAGGATAATCTCCGTTACTTCCACTGTGTGAGTCGGTGCTAAGAGATTTGAATCGAACAAAAAGTATTAATTTCAATGTGGCCACACCCCTCGAACAAAATAAAAATATACTTTATTTATTCAAATTTTAATTCTTTTTTCAATGATATCAATTTTATTTTGTTCGAAGGGTGTGGCCACAGCAAAAAATTGAACCAAAGACAAAAAAAATTCTTTATTTGATAAAAAGTAGAAAAGTGCATGTGTTTAGACATTTTCTGTAAAATTATGACATCATCAAATAAAAAAAAATTGGCATAAACTATTTCAGTTTGATACCCAATGATAATATTTCTATTGTTAATTTTCTTCTTCCCCTCAGTTTTATTTTCCTGAAAAAATAGGCCGATTTAGCCCCTTCGTGGATTTAGCTCTTTTTGGGAATTTAAGATATTTCAAAATTGAGATATAGAACACAGTTATAATGTGTCAGCCTTTCTGTCAGAGTAATGCAATTTATTGACTGAAAGTTAACAGAAATTTTAAGGTGAAATATTCCTCTGCTCAAAATTTCATCAATTTTTCTTTAAAATTCCCAACATTGATTTTCATCAACAACAACAGCATTATATTCAAATGGAAAATATTTTGGAGTATGAAGTGTTGCTTACTTTTATAGAAATGAGTATTATGTCTAATCATGATATGAAGAAAATTTGAGAGAGTGAATAGAAAGATAAATAGTTTATTATCTCAGCATAAAATCAAGTATATGAGGTATATGAAAATAATATTTAGTGTCATACATATTTAATTCATATAGAAAACATAATGAAGGGTTGCTTTGTAAATCAGAATATCACATTGTTTTCTGTGCTTGTAAAAAAATATGCATACATCTACAAGAGTTATTGTTCCATCTACAAGAGTTATCTTTCTTTAAAATATTTTTTTAAAGGAAAAAATTTATTAATTATTATTATTATTATTACTATTATTAATTATGAAAATTCTGCATATGATGCATGATAAATTACTCTAGCATTTTAAAAATTGTTTATAGAGAAATAGAAATTTTGTTTGTTCTTCAGAATTTTCATTTCTGTTTACATTTTTTATTCAGTAACGAAATAGAATATCTCTTGGTCATTTATTAAATTTGAAAATCGTTAAATGTTTTAAAAACACTCCAAAACCTCATCGTAGCTGTAAATATTATTTTGTTAGGGACAGATTCGTAATTAATTTCTTTCTTTTAAAATTAATATGTTTGAATATTTAGACACTGTATATGTCAATTTCAAATGTTATAATGAATGGACCAACATCTTCTCTTGTATTGTTGTTGTAAACTGGCGACACAAAGGGAAGTAATTCGAATTGCACGTCGTGCATGCATAATGAAAGTACAAAGGAGGTCATGAATAAATCTCCACGTTTTTCTACAGACATGCTACATGCAACCATCACTATCACTCCTTCTTTTGCGAGTTACCTCGCCTAACTTAATTGAGCCATTAATGATTTTTTTTATCACGTTTGTTAAAATCTAAACTGTCGATACAGGATAGATCATTAAAGGGACAATAATTACCCAACGCAAGACTTCTCTAATGACCAGCGGGCACAGATAAAAACAAGAGGCCCAGGGGCCACATCGCTCACCTGAGCACTGTGGTTAGGAAAAAAGCAAAAATCAGTTTAGTATTGCAATGCTTATTTGCATAAGTGGTCCTGACCTACCCCTAAAAGGAGGGGGGTATGATTTGAACAAAATTGAATCTACACTAACTAAGGATGCTTACATGTTTTTTTTTGACTAACTGTGACTTTTTTCCTACAAGTTTAAACTTTCATTGTGGCCCTTACCTACTCCTGAGGGTTATGATTTGATCAAACTTGAATCTACACCACCTGAGAATGCTTCCATATAAATATGACCAATCATAGCTTTGTTGTTCTTAAGAAGATTTTTTGAAATTTTTCTTATGTACTCCTATGTAAAACTTTGATCACCCACTGTGACCCCACCCTACCAATCAAGGCTTTGCTGTTCTTGAGAAGAAGGTTTTTAAAGATGCTCCCTATGTATTCCTATGTAAAACATTGATTGCCCACTGTTGCCCCACCCTACCCCGGGGGTCATGATTTGAACAAACTTAAATCTACACTACCTGAGGATGCTTCCATATAAATATGACCAATCAAGTATTGCAATGCTTAAATACATAAGTGGTCCCGACCTACCTCTAAAAGGAGGGGGGGGGGGGGGGTATGATTTGAACAAAATTGAACCTACACTAACTAAGGATGCTTACATATTTTGTTTTGACTAACTGTGACTTTTTTCCTACAAGTTTAAACTTTCATTGTGGCCCTTACTACCCCTGAGGGTCATGATTTGATCAAACTTGAATCTACACTATCTGAGGATGCTTCCATATAAATCATATAAACCACCAATCATGGCTGTGCTGTTCTAGAGAAGAGGATTTTTTAAGATTTCTCCTATATATTCCTATGTAAAACTTTGATTGTCCATTGTGGCCCCACCCTACCCCCCGGATCGAGTCATGATTTGATCAAACTTGAATCGACACCACCTGAGAATGCTTCCATATAAATATGATCAATCATAGCTTTGTTGTTCTTGAGAAGATTTTTTGAAATTTTTCTTATATACTCCTATGTAAAACTTTGATCACCCACTGTGACCCCACCCTACCCCCAGGGGTCATAATTTGAACAAACTTGAATCTACACTACCTGAGGATGCTTCCATATAAATATGACTAATCATGGCTTTGTTGTTCTTGAGAAGAAGGTTTTTAAAGATTTCCCCTATGTATTCCTATGTAAAACTTTGATCGCCCACTGTGGCCCCACCCTACCCCTGGGGTCATGATTTGAACAAACTTGAATCTACACTACCTGAGGATGCTTCCATATAAATATGACCAATCAAGGCTTTGCTGTTTTTGAGAAGAAGATTTTTAAAGATTTTCCCTATATATTTCTATGTAAAACTTTGATCGCCCACTGTGGCCCTACCCTACCCCTGGGGGTCATGATTTGAACAAACTTGAGAGTCTACGTTACCTGAGGATGCTTTCACATAACTTTCATATTTTCTAAAACTGTGGTTCTTGAGAAGAAGATTTTTGAAAGAAGCCATAAATTTTTCATGAATTTGCAATTATCTCCCCTTGGAAGAAGGTGTGGCCCTTCATTTGAACTAACTTGAATTCTCTTCACCCAAGGATACTCTGTGTCAAGTTTGGTTGAAATTGGCCTAGTAGTTCTGGAGAAGAATGAAAATGTGAAAAGTTTACAACGATAACCATGCCAACGACAACGACGACAGACAATGGACAAAATCAGAAAAGCTAATAAGTGGCCGGATTAGAGGAGATAATTTGTACTAATTATGAGTAGTTAGTTCTTTAAAAAGCGGTCGGTTTACAGAATAGGCAAGATCTGGATTGAACAACATTTATTAAACATAAATTATGAAGAAAATTCAAGGGACTAAAATATTACGTCGGACTGAACAACATGCCGGAGTGCACAACATCTGGATTCAACAAGTTTTACTGTATATCAATTTTTACAGTTTAAAGAACTGAGTGCAAATAGGTCAACTATTATAAGTAACTATCAAAAATACTGAGAAAAGAAAATAGAAATGAATGTTTGTAACATTAAATCTTAAAGAGTTTTACTTACAGGAAATTCTGTAAGTGTGTTATATTGTGTGTATTTGTCTTTGTATTCTAATTAGTGTCTTTGGCAGAGAGTCACTTCCACTAAAGCAATAGTACATCACCAAATGCCATATATACTCACAAAAAATTTTCTTAGGTAGAAATTATTTTACAATTTCTTGACAAGAAATGAAAAAAAGGAATCTGTACTTAACCCACTGGGGCTCTTGGCCAGTTTTCTGTATCACAGAATGTATATTTATCAACCTTTTATTTTCCTTTACTTAAAATCAGTCAAATTGAATTTGACATAAATTCTATTTTATTAATGAGATGGACCATTTATTTTTATCACTCACTAGGTTTTAAAACTATATGCCTGGGAGTTATCTTTTGAAGAAAAAATCCTAGGATTGAGAAGAAGAGAGCTGAAAGTTCTTAAAACCATGGCATTTCTGAATGCTTGTGTTTCATTCACTTGGACAACAGCACCATTTTTGGTTTGTTAAGTTTGATGTTATTTTAGTTAATTTCTAAATAAAGAGACAATAATGATAAAAATTTACACTCTTTTGAAAATGATGTGCCATACGTTTTTCATTTTATGCATTGACTTTGATTTTAGATATTTTCATTAGGTCACCTGAGTCACTCAGATGACCTATTGCTATCTGTTTTAGGTCACCTGACTCACTCACTCAGGTCTAATCTATTGCTATCTGTTTTTGTCCATCGCTGTGCAATGTGTATTATGCATTAACATTTGAACTTTTTTAGCTTCTTTTTAGCTTCTTTTCTGGAACCACTGAACCAATTTTAACCAATTTTAGCATATGGCATCTATAGGTGAAGGGGTACAAAAATTATTTATTCATGGTCCCCATTCCTGGGGCCTGGAAGTTGTGGCTAAAACCATCAAAATTAGTGCAATCTTTAAAAATATTCTTCTTTATTCCTGGACACCTAGCATTCAAACTCAGTGAAACAGCCTTAAAATTTAATTTCATTTTAAAATTCAAAAAAAAAAAAAATTAGCTAACAGAATCAAAATGACTATACTGTTCATTAAAAAAGAAATAATAAATGCCCCAAGCAATGATCGAATCAAAACGTATTGATTACGCACCGTCATGGATAGATAACATACCACTGTGCTATCATCCCTACATACAGAATTTGAGTTTTAAAACAACAATGAAGCAACTTATTTTCTGGGAAAAGTTAACTTTTAATGGTCTCTGGGTCTTCTCTCCATTTTTTACAAATGTTTGCTCATTTCTTTGAATTAAAATACACACAAATTCTATTCTAACACCGTGGAACGATGACCCAGAAGTAGCTAATTTATATAAAAACGTGTGAAAATGTAACATTTTGTACCAAATGACTCATCTAGCCATATTTCAAAGCACATTTTAGCAAATCAAGACATAATACTAGTATTGGGAAAATATTCCCCTTTCCTATATCATAAGAACCCAGATATTCAATAGAATGATAATATATCAACTGTTGCATCAATGATATTTTCACTGTATAACTGTGCCCAGATTCCTGTTGAATCCACATCAAAAGCACTCTCATTCTTTAAGAGAATTTTGGAGAGTTGTAAGTAAAATGAACAATAAATCACAAAATTTCGTAGTGGTCTTGAGTTGCGTAAGTTTAACAAAATACAATTTTTCCATATCTCAAGACTTAAATATATTTGAAACGATTCTTCTTTTTCTTTTCATGAGACAATTTAAAAGGATACATAATTAAAAAAAAAACATTTTTCTATTTAATTCACTACAGTCTATAATTTTGAAAAGAAATACATAACTGGTGTTAGGTATAGTAGCCAATTATGTTTTTCAAGGTATTTTTTTTAATTCAAATTTAAACTTACAGTCTGTAGAAAAAATATTGATAAACATGAAGATGGCTTGTGTTGAATGTTAATTTACAATTCTTGCACTGATTACATATGTTTGAGTTACCAGTAGCTTGCAGTGTTCAGTTACTAGTAGTCCTATGTATAATGAATATATGCGGTTAATTAATAGAACATTTTCAATGATGATAATATTAAACAGATCTGTCATATCATATGAGCTTGAATAATTATAAAATACCAGTAGCAGATCAAAATTTGGTCAGCCCATGCATGCAGTCACGCACCAAAGAGAAGGCAATTAAGTAAAATAAAGAGGTCTCAGCTTAAAATTGCCTATCCATTTTTTTTATTGTGTAAATTACATTTTAATATCTTTTTAAAATTAATTACTTCCCTTGAAACTATAAAAAATAAAATCAATAAATTAAGGTATTAAAGTTTTTAGGTCACCTGAGTCACTCAGGTGACCTATTGCTATCCGTTCTCGTCCGTCGTCGTGCGGTGTGCGTTAACATTTGAACATTTTTAGCTTCTTCTCTGAAACCGCTCAACCAATTTCAACCAAATTTGGCATATAGCATCTATGGGTGAAGGGGAACAAAAATTGTGAATTTCATGGTCCCTTCCTCCCTGGGGCCTGAGGGGTGGGGCTAAAACCACCAAAATTAATGCAATCTTTAAAAATCTTCTTCTTTACTCCTGGACATCAAGCAGTCAAACTGTTGGCATGATTGTAATAAGCATTGAGCCCTCTACCAAAATTGTGAAATTCATGGCCCGAGAGTCAGGGGTTCTAGTGCTAGGGTGGGGCTATATAGATCATATAGTAAAAGTGCATTATTTCTTTGAAAATCTTCTCTGCTCCTGGGTATTAAATAAACTAACTAAATACATAGTAATGAAGAGCAAGAGTCCTCTTCCAAAATTGTGAAATTTAGGTCCCAGGGTCAAGGGTTCTGGTGTTGGGGGGGGGGGGGGGGGGGCTCTATTGATTATATAGTGAAACTGCATTAAATCTTTGAAAATCTTCTTCTCTGCTCCTGGTTATTAAATAAACTAAGTAAGTACATAGTTATGTTGAGCAAGAGTGCTTCTTCCAAAATTGTAAATTTCATGACCCCAGGGTCAGGGGTTCTTGTGTTAAGGCGGGGCTCTATTGATTATATAGTGACAATGCATTAATTCTTTGAAAATCTTCTTCTCTGCTCCTTGGTATTAAATAAACTAACTAAATGGTGAGCATGATTGCCTTTTCAGAAATTGTAAATTTCATGGCCCCTGGGTCAGGGGTTCTGGTTCTCTGTGCCTGGATATTAAATAAACTACCGGTAACTAAGTACATAGTTATGGTGGGCATGTATGCTTCCTAAGAAATTGTGAATTTCATGGCCCCTGGGTCAGGGGTTCAGGTGTTAGGGTGGGACTCTATTGATTACAGTTAAACTTCGTTATCTCGAAGTTGACGGGACCGTTGATGAACTTCGAGATATCCGGGGGTTCGACATATCGAGGGTTATAATTCAAATGAACTTCAAATAAACTTAGTGCAGTGAACATGTACTTAATAGTAAAAACATGTCGAAATACTTCTTGTTTGAAATTCTGTAAAAGATTTCTTTACTATACATGTACATGTATTTAGCAATCAAAAAATTTATCCTCTTTATAATTCACAAAATAAAAGCTTTGTATAATATGCACAGAAGTATAATCCAATGCGGAAAGTCAACCGCTAGCATCGTTTCCCATGTATACATAACCGGATATCGTCTATGCATTTTAAATTTAAAACCGGTCGCTGTCAGAATAACGAAAACGAAATATACATTTCTTTTATTGGAAAAACATGTTCATACATGTAAAATCAGTTAAAAGAAAATTATTTTACCATAATAAAATCAAACACAAAAGAAAAATCACGCACTTTTGTCTAACAACAGAACAACACTGAATCACAGGGCACTACAGCACAAGTTTTTACTGCGACACATGCTCACATGATGGTGTGTACGGACGATTGTAATTTCTGCATGCTCATGTAGGGAAAATAAATTCTAATTGCATTAAATTATAGAATTTTGTTTTACTTCGATGTTTATAATTTTCACTTCCATATGCGTAAACTATGTATGCGCGCATATTTCACATAGCATTAAATTGCGATTAATTATCAAGATAAACGTACCCAAGCCACAAAACAATGAACGTGTCATCCACGCGTATGCATTAGACTAATACACACAACCTTTGGCATGCATAATTACAATCAAGGTAAGTCATACATACACTTCGTATAATTATCGCGCTATTATCTGTTGATCCCAGGAACACAGGTAACCCGAGCGTGACAGACAGGTGGGTGTTATCAATAGAGCATTCAGTTTACCTAACGGACTTGATCATCAGTGCGGAAAATTATCCTGACTTCGAGATAACGCATGTGATTTTAATGAATGGGTACACAATTTTACTTCGAGATAACCGGGGTATTCGACATTACCGTGTTCAACATAGAGGGGTTTATTTTAATCATTTATAAAGCAAATTTCGTCGGGACCATGGCCTTACTTCGACATATCCGGGGTATTCGAGATATCCGTGTTCGAGATTTCGAAGTTTAGCTGTATATAGTAAAATTGCATTAATTCTTTGAAAATCTTCTTCTCTGCTCCTGGGTATTAAATAAACTAACTTAGTGCATAGTTATGATGAGCATGGTTGCCTCTTTTAAAATTGTGAATTTCTTGGCCCCTGGGTCAGGGGTTCTGGTGTTAGGGCAAGGCTCTATTGATTATATATTTAAAAAAATACATTAATTCTTGAAAATCTTCTCTGCTCCTGGGTATTAAATAAACTTTCTAAGTGCTTAGTTATGATGAGCCTGGTTGCCTTTTTTGAAGAATTGTGAATTTCTTGGCCCCTGGGTCAGGGGTTCTGGTGTTAGGGCAGGGCTCTATTGATTATACATTTAAAAAATACATTAATTCTTGAAAATCTTCTCTGCTCCTGGGTATTAAATAAACTAACTAAGAACAAAGTGATGGTGAGCATGGCTGCCTTTTCAGAAATTGTGAATTTCATGGCCCCTGGGTCAGGGGCTTAGTTGTTAAGGCAGGGCTCTATTGATTATATAGTAAAATTGCATTAATTCTTTGAAAATCTTTTTCTCTCTCCTGAATATTAAATAAAGTAAGTACATAGTTATGATGAGCATGGCTGCCTCCTCAGAAATTATGAATTTTATGGCCCCTGAGTCAGGGGTTCTGGTGTTAGGGTGGGGCTCTATTGATTATATAGGGAAAAGGCATAAATTCTTTCAAAATCTTCTCTGCTCCTGGGTATTTTTCAAACAAAGGAAGTGCATGGTTATGATAAGGAAGAATGCCTGTTCCAAAATTGTGAAATTCATGGCCCCTTGGTCAGGGGTTCTGGTGAGGGGGGAGGAGGGGGCTCTATTGATTACAGTTAAAACTGCCATAGCGACCCACTGTATTAAGCGACTCACTGTCATATGTGACCGTAAAAATTCCTCCCAACACTTTTCCCTATATATTATACCTGTATTAAACGACAACCTGTCTAATGCGACCAGCGACCGTGATTTTCCTGACCATTTTTTGTAATTTCAGACAATTTTACCTGGATTTAACAACTATAAAATTTCTGATTCCTACTTTCGTTTTCGGTCGAGGATGCTACGTTTTTTGGTTCAAAACATCTACAGACACGCGTTAATTTATTTAATAATTATATAATGCAAATTTTACGAACAAAACAACATTTCAAAATAAATATTTTTACTTACGTTTTGATATTTATTGAATAAACATTAAAATCTAATACATAAACATTCACGTTTTTTCTCTCAAATGATTGAGTGCCATTTTGTAAATAGACGTTCGAGGTTGATCCCGATATCATTTCGTGCTATAAGGGCCAAATGGATATTCAGCTATAAAACCTGCCTATTTAACTTTTAATTAACAAATAACTAATTTCTAGATGTTTATTTAAGTGAATTGTGTCACCAATGGGGTATGTAAACACACGCTAGCTAGCACCCATACCAGGTGATAATTGAAGCAATTGAAGTAACTGGTGTCAACCAGGCAATTAGACGCGTAGTTCAATAATGAAAAAAAAAAAAAAGGTTCAATAGATTTTTAGTCATAAATATAATTTAATTTGTTACCAAGTGCATAATAAAAACCATGATACAGTTTTAATTCTTAGTAATGCGCAAAACATACGAAGTTATATATGGGCTATCATGTAAAAAATATATTATTAGAAAAAAAAATCTTTGCAGCTTTTTTATACTGTATAAAAAAATTTAATATTTTCAAATGTTCACAATACATGTACATGTATTTCACAATAATCAAATGACTCATGTGCGGATCAAGCAAAATTTATTACTGAACAGGACAATTGTACCTACAGTGTTAAAGCATTTAGAGTTGAGCAGTACCTATTAAAAAGCGGAAATAAACAGAATATGTTTAAGAAATAAAGTCCTTATTATCGTGAATGTTGCAGGATAACCTCCAAGGTCGAGAAATGTTGTCTGAAATATAAAAGCCGAGGCGTTAGCTGAGGCTTTTATATTTCAGACAACATTTCGAGACCGAGGAGGTTATCCTGCATCATTCACGACAATAAGGACTTTATTTCTATTCTACTCACGGCTCCAAAATACAGTTGATCGTTTTCTCTATAGAGAAACGAATTAGGTCACCATGTCGCAATTTCGCTGTTCCATTTAACACCAGAGGGTCAATCGATTGCATAAAATGCAGACGATTTCAGCTTTTGTTGGATTAAAAATATCCTTTAATTATTTATAAATTTGCTTGTAACATATATTGATTAATTTTTATGAATGAAAAATAACAAAACCAGTTGTCTATTTCATTGATTTATCAGTAAAATCAGGGGAGTGTAAATGTTGTGGGGAGGTCCGTAGAACAGCCCCACTTGGCTATAAAAATGGATATTTATCAGCTGTTTCAGGCAATACACACGTTTAGACTGCGGAAGACGACACATCGATGTGGTCTAAATAAGTATTTGATTCTACATTGAAATATTTATTTCAACTGTACAGATTTGACTTGTGTTTCTGATCTGATAATTTTTTGATGACGTTCGTGATTTATTGGAGAATAATGTCCGCGGCATTTCTTTGATCTCGGCAATAATCGTAGTAGAATATAAAATACATGTCATTCCACATGCAGTGTAATATTTTCAGCATTGTATATTTGAACACTGCGGAAAATAAGCAACCTGTATTAAGAGACCACCTGTCATATGTGACCTTTTTTCCTTTCTCCGTTGGAAGGTCTCTTAATACAGGTTTGACTGTATATAGTGAAAATGCATAATTTTTTTCAAAATATTTTTTCTACTACTGGTTATAAAGTAAAGAACGTGTATAGTTATGATGAGCAAGGATGCCTCTTCCAGAATTGCGAGTTCATGGCCAATGGGTCAGATGTTCTGATGTAAGGATGGGGCTTTATTTATTGAATAATATAGTGAAAATGCATTTCTTTGAAATTCTTCTTTGCTTCTGGGGATGTTTGAGGCAAACAGAATAAAAGTTTTAATATGCAAGGGTATTTTACCAGAATTTTGAACACCTGGACCATTTAGTCAAGTGTTCTGGTCCTAGCCAGGGCTCTATTAACTTGTATTCTGCTGAGCAAAGTTATTCCCCTTTGCCATTCACCTTTGATAATTAATCAATGTAAATAATGTATTTGAAAGCTTAATAGAATAAGCGAATTATGCAAGAATATTTATTGTATAATACAAAAAGTACTTTCATAGTTTATGGATCCTCTAAATTGTTGTATTGTACTCAGGTGACCGTTAAGGCCCTTGGGCCTCTTGTTTTTCTTAGCCTTCACATTTGATACCAGTATGTGCATATGTACATGCTTATAGAGAGTTCTTGAGAAGTGATTCACTTATCCGGACAGTTCATTTATCAGATTTCGTTCAGGACAGAGGCGTTCGGATAAACAAGGCATCACTGTATACATAAAAATATATCTGAACCAAAAATTGTAATACTAGCAATTCAAGTCTTTTTTAGTTAGTATTCCTCTTGAATCTTGCACAAGTGCTTGGTGATATATCTCAACTTTTGGTGAGGAAACATGTTAAAGAGCAATACTTCAATCTAAATTCTTGGGAAAACTTAAATACATTTGTATCATTGGGTAATGTGTCCTTGTGTTTTAACTTACAATGGAAAAATTCTATAAATTGTTATTATGGCACATCACTTTTCAAGTAATCATGTGTTAAAAAATTGTGTAATGAGCATTATTTTTCCCTTTTTGTTGTACAGGTTTCTCTGGTAACTTTTGCTGTCTTTGTACTGTCGGATTCAAATAAGCTTGATGCAGAGAAAGCTTTTGTGTCCTTATCTTTATTCAATATATTGAGGTTTCCTATGTCTATGCTTCCACAGATTATATCGAATATTGTACAGGTAGGTTGTTAGAAAAAATGTTTAAGGAATCACTTCCTAGTTTTTAGGTCACCTGAATCACTCAGGTGACCTATTGCTATCCGTTTTTGTCCGTCGTTGTGTGTGGTCCGTCGTGCTTTAACATTTGAACATTTTCAGCTTCTTCTCTGAAACCGCATAAGGAAGTTGGGTCCTGTTATCAAAAGTATTGAGATTTTTTTTATCAAGTATATTTTTGGAATCTATGCACATAGCTTAGTTAAAAATCAAAGCCAAAAATGGGGGTCAATGCGCTTCTTTCGGCGCTACGGAGCATTTAATATGACCTTTTTGCACTATCATTACGTCTTACACATAAATCAATTTTTCAAATTTTTTCCTGTAATATTTTTTATCCAAATAAATTATGGGAAAAAACACAGTCTTTTTTCGTCTTGAAAAATCTCTTTAAAATTTGTGACAACAAAAAAAGTTTCAATTTACTCAAAAAATGTCATTTTCTGGCATTAAAAATTTAAGAAGCAATAAAATCATTTGAAAGTAATGACATTTTTCTGAATTTAAAAGAATTAAAAGTGGGGGTCTGTGATGTTAATTTTTAGATATACCTAAAATAGTGTTAATTTTAAGCCTAAAATGGGCTATTTTTCCCCAGGACTTTCACAATATATTTGCTATATTTGTCCAATATGATGATAGAAATTTAAGACGATTAATTTAATATATTATTTAGGACCAGCATAAAACATTTCACTACACAAAATACAGTCCCTGAAACGTTCTACTTTCCCACTTGAACGGTGAGTGAACGCTGGACGAACGGTGAATGAACGCTGAACGAACGCAGAGCGAACAGTGAGTGAACGCTGAACGCAACTTGGTGAACGATGTGTGAACGCTGAATGGTGAGCGAACGCAGAACGCGAACAGAGCGCAAATGCGAATGCAAAGTGAACAGTGAACGAACGGTGAACGCAAGATGAACGATTTATTTGGAATGCCTCTGATCTTTTCCTTGCATTGAAACTATTTTCTTGTATTCTAATGTCAGGTGCCCCCCCCCCCCCCCAAAAAAAAGAATAATAATAAATAAATAAACATATCAATGAATGATTAAATAAATAATTAAAAAAATGCTCCAAAATTGTCTTAAGAAAGACGATGTATGCACATTAAGTTTTTAATCACACGATTTTTATCGCTGTAAAACATTGCAATATTATTGTTGTCGAACGCTGTAGTATAAAAGATAAAATTATTTTAGTTGGAAAATAAATATGTTTATTCTTATTTGATATAAAAAAAACCCATTACAAATAAGAGAAAACTTCTGACTTATAGAATGAATTAAAATGGTTGTAACATACATTCATATATTTCCGTGCCAAGGCGATTTCGTGTAAAATAATGAAAAAAAAAATTAATTACAAAGGTCAGTGGACGTATTGTATAAATACTAGGGATGTCAAAATATTTATTTTCCTTAGTCGATTATTCGATTGCATTATTCGAACGATAGTCGAATATTTGGAACATTTTCTGAAAAAAAAAATATCTCAAGCTTCACTGCGTATCTATTACTCAAAAACCCTTTTACTTTAATATATTTAAAAAGTACCATCAAAATTAGTGCAATGTAACGCATAGATAGCATGATTATGTGAAATAATTTTAGAAAACTAATTCTCCAAAATGTATGATTTCAATAGAAATCAGTAATCGGTCTGTACAGTCATGCAGTCAGTTTTTATTTCAGTAAGCATTAAAAATTGACAGCCGATATTTTTTAAAGCTTATTATGAATAAATTGGGGGGGAGGGGATCTCACACTATTTACACGTCAGGTGCCTATGAAATTGTTAAACAGTTAGATACTGCTTAATCAATCATTGATTGCTCTGGCTATCGAGATGTCCTTAAGCAGTTTAAAATGTAAGCGAATTGTTTTAATAATTATCGACGTGTCAAAACATGTCACAGCTATGGCTTGTTCCTTGCATTTGAGCAATCTTAAAATAACAAAAGATAATTGGTACATGGTATAAGTCCAATTAATATTTTTACAAACAAAGTCCAGTATATTAGTGGGTAATTTATTACAAAAACAACACAGGTCGTTACTGAAAAATACTTCTCACATTAGTGAAGCACTTATAATTACAAAACAGTAATTTCTATACGTAGAGGGAAAATCAGCCGTTTTTTGTTTAGAAAAATTATCGACTGTCTCTGAGGAAAGACATTTCCTCAATTTTGTGATGAGAATTGCATTTTGTTATTACTCATTTATTGTATTTATTTATTTATAATAATATTCGAATGTCGTTTCATTATTCGATCGTTGGTCCATTCGACTGATGGTCGAATAGTTGACAATTCGTTGACATCCCTAATAAATACGCTCATATTTTAAATTTTTATTGCAATAATACATTTATGTGTCATTTCTATTTTCCATGATGATTTAATTATTGAGCAGACTTCTACATGTACCTGTAGACATTTCCCCGAGATTATACTCGGACAAGGTAATACCTAGCTGCAATAATGTAGCCCTCTCCGATTTTTTTTAATCTGATATTTTCAGGAGAGGGCTACAATTCCACTGCATCTCTGTAATGGTGCAAATATATTTTTTAGATACGGGCAACTGCAGGCAAAATAAATTGTTTTTGCATTCAACTTACTTCCAATAAGACGGAATTTTTATTCACTATCAACATCACAGCCCTTTATGCGCGAAAACCGAGTAAAATAAATCCGTGTGTTTACCTCAGCAGCCATGACAGTTCTCGCGTGATGTACTGAGACTTGCGCTTGAAAGAGCTAAATCCACGAAGGGGCTAAATCGGCCTATTTTTTCAAGAAAATTAAACTTAGAGGAAGAAAAAAATTAACAATAGAAATATTATCCTTGGGTATCAAGCTTAAATAGTATATGCCAATTTTTTTATTTGATGACGTCATATTTGTACAGAAAACGTCTAAACACGTGCACTTTGCTTGTTTTTATCAAAATAAAGCATTTTTTTCGTCTTTGGTTCAAATTTTTGATGTGGCCACAACCTTCAAACAAAATAAAATTTATACCATTGAAAAGATGATTAAAATATGAATAAATAAAGTATATTTTTATTTTGTTCGAGGGGTGTGGCCACATCGAAATTAATGCTTTTCGTTCGATTCAAATATCTTAGCATCGTCTCACACAGTGAAAATAGCGGGGATTACCCTATATTAATAGAAAAGAAAAATATTCTATATTGTTTTTGTAAATATCAAGAAGTTTTGAAATGCGATTGTTATATTTATTATAAGTTATTTTGTGTTGTGGTGCAAAAAAGTACGAAAAACTCTCGCTAGGCATGACTGCATAGATGCAATAATGTCGACATTTTGTGTACTAGGCCTACGTGCCTCAGTCCTGACCCAAGACTTTTCCTTCGAGTAGATGATCTATATTTTACTCATCATTATACTGAAATGTTAAAAAAAAATAATAATGTGTACTCTTTTCCTCTGCCTATTTATTTATGCTTTGAATTTGTTTTCCAACTCCCGGCTCCTCGTCACCATGGTCACTATGTAATCAAAGGGAGATCACCCGAGAAACATGTAGGCTACATCTTTATTTTCTCCTGAGTGGCCGTGTCGGAATAGCCTAGAATATAAAACAAATTACATCGGATGCAACTACCAAGTCGTATTTATAATGATTGTTTTGCCACCTTACAAAACATAAATGTCGTGAAGTCTGTATCGACAGCATGTACAAATGGTTAATGTTACGTAATAGAGTCTATCATTACTACATGTACATGTATTATAATTATAACTCATACCCATGATACCCAACATGCGTTTCAGAAATCGCCAGTGGCATTTTAAGACAAAAGATTAATTAATATTTATTAGTGAAAACCTTTACTGATCCGAGACCTCTTAACATAAATTATGTTACGAAGTACTCAACCTAGAAAATTCGAGTTGACAAATCAAATAAACATAGATTGATTTTACAGATCGCGTGTAATTTTTGTGATAGGCCTCTATAAGAAAAATGTCCTACATTGTATAAACGAATAACTTACTACCAAGGCAGTGACAACTCTTTAAGGTTTTAAGTAACTTCAGTATCGCATGCATGCTGTGACCTAGCCAACACATGAAAAAAATGTCAAAGGGAGGCTACTTGCTATCTCTTTCTATTTTGAGTTACTCCACTTAAATGTAACAGGCCCAAGGGAGAGAGGGCAACCAAGATTAGTAAGCATGTTTATACATGTAGTAGTGTAAATTCATAAAGGGGGGGATTCGAACATTGATATAAAATAAGAAGCAAAAAAAAAAAAAAAAAAGAAAAGAAAACTAATACATTTACAAAAAAGTAAAGAAAAGAAAAGACAGGGGTTATTGGGGGAGGGGGGTTCGGGATTCTCACCCTCACTCATTAAATACGTGGAACAGTTCGACCAATTGCTGCTGCCATTTTAACAAGAAAGTAGTAAAGTGAATAAATAACAATGCTGATTATATTAGTCCTTGTATATATATATAGTATATATATATATAGTATAAAAATAAATTCAATAGCAGTTTTCATTTTTTTTTAATCTCCTTGATAAAAATTTATTTAAAAAACGATTGATTTTTCGTGACTCAGTCATTGCATAAATTTATTATAGATCCCAGGCCCGTAGGTAGCAATTTCAGTTAGGGAGGAGGGGGAGGCACATCCATACATTTTCAGTTGGGGACACTATCAAATACCAAAATTCCTTGACAAGCCAAAAAAAAAGGGGGGGGGCATCAGACGTTTTTATTGACGGGACACAAGCATATAGTAGCTTTGTTTTATATAGTATTCTATATATCGGCAAAATTATTGGGGGGGGGGGGGGGCATGGCCACCCCCCGGTTCCTACGGCCATGTATCCTTAATGTATTATTATTATTATTAACGGATTTAACTGCTACCGGTAATTTTGCCTGTCTATCATATTTGTTTTTTTTGAAAGGAC